GGCCACTGAGGGGGTGAACTCCTCAGCCTGAGGGAAAAGCCACAGTTGAAACAGAAGAGGAGCCAGAGAGAGTGAGGAGGAGACACGGTGGCTGGAATCCAGTTCTGGGCACAAGGGCTGGCATGGAGATTAAGGAAAAGTGTGTGGGGTGCAACAGACACCCCCACACCCCAGCGGTGTCTGAACAGTCCGGGTTCCTCTTGTTCTGACAGGGGAGGAGAGAGCCTGGGCATGTCTGGCTGCCACAAGGCCCAGGTGAAAGCGCGGGGCCTCCTGCCTGGAGCTGCCCCCTGATCTGTGGGTTTTCAGTCTCAGCAGCCACCAGGGGAGCGGGGCGTGGCTTTTGGGGACTGACACCCCCACCACAGCTCTGACCCCAGCATAACCCAATCACTGAAGAAACCTGCTTGGGGGCGGCGGAACAACCCTGGGTGGGCGATGGGGTGCACACCCCCAGAGTGACTGGGAGCCTCGGGAGGGTGTGAGCAGGTGGAGAGTGGCCCTGGGCGGGGCGGGGGGGGGGGGGGCGTGAGAAAGGGTGTCTGCTTTGCAAGGCAAATTTAGTCCACCCAGGTGGCTCAAAGCATTGGGGTGCAGCACCATGAAGCTGTCTGTGGCCAGTCAGGTCTGTGAATTCTCTTCCCCGCCCCCTCACCTCCACCCCGTACCCCAGCTACTCTTTGCATCAGTTATTTCACATTTGAAAAACAAAACAAAACCGCCCGGAGTCTGCCCAGGAGGGGTACCCACAGGTGCATCTGGGCCTGGGCCCATCATGGCCTGCCTCCGGCACGCAGGGGGCAGCTTCTTGTTCCTCCTGCTCGGTGAGTGACCCCTCGGGCAGAAGCCTCTGTGAGGTCGGTGCTGAGAGGGTGGGGTGAGGACTCCCCGAACCCCCCCCCCCCTCTCTCTCTCTCTCTTTCTCTCTCTCTCTCTCTCTCTGCCTCTGAGCCCCACGGGCAGATCCAGGCTCCCGCCCCGCGCAGCCTGCCCGGGAAGGTTGTGGCTGAAATTCAGTTACTTCTGGGCATTCCGAGGTGCCCTGGCCTTAGACTTGATGGGAAAGAACCGCGCTGGGCCGCCCTCGGGCTCCCCCACCCGCGCCCTGGGTGTGGATCCCTGCTGGGGTGCCAATCTGCACCCCACTCTCGACAGCTTCCCCCCACTGCCAGTGCTGGTCTTGCTTGCAAGTGGTGGTGGTTTCTGCTCCCCAATGGGCCAGCTTGTGGTGGGAAGCCGACCCTGGCAGGGGGGGAGGGTGGCAGAGAAGGGTTTGAGCAGGGAAACTAGTCAGTGCTTCCGGGGTTCCTAAGCAGGCAGTGAGGGCGCCTTTCCCTGCTTTATGGTCTTAAAGGAAGAAAACAGTGAGTGTCTAGAACCGCCTGGTTCCCTTTCTAGCTTCAGGAAATCAGCAGCACAGCCCCAGGACATGGGTGTCTTTGCCTTGGTTCTGACCTCCTTACCCTCCCCAACACCTCCAGTCTGGGGGTAAATCACAGTGAACCCCTGGAGGGTAGTGCTGGCCCCCTAATTAATTCTTCCTTGCCTGGGGGTGAGGGGGTGGCTGTTCCTCTGGGAGCCCTTGGTACAATCTGTCAGATCCACCTTCCACTCCAGTCTTCAGCCTTTCCTGAGTGACTCCTCTGCACATTCTCCCAGGTGCACGCCCTGGGGAGAGTTGGAGGAAGACTCAAAGGTACTGCAGTGTCAGGTAGAGAAGTACAGGAAGAGGGATTCGAAGAAGCACCAGGGCCTCCCTGGTGGCTCAAGGGGTTATGAAGCTCACCAGCCTCTGCAGCACAAGTTTGATCCCTGGCCAGGGCGCTGACCCACAGGGCACAGCAGACCTCTCCTGCCCAGCCTGCTGCCCCCCTCAGCAGTGTGTTTCAGGACATCTGCCTGTTCTGCTCCCCATTGTCTCTGGTGAATCCTCTCACCCACCTCATCTCTGGCCTGCACTCCAGCTCTTGTATGCATATATAAATAAATCTTTAAAAAAAAAAAAGAAGAAGAAGAAGCTCCAAAGCTACCTGGGCTTGTCTTTTATGAAAATAGGCATCCTCTGTGAGGCAAAGCCTTCCAGGGAGGGAGGGTGGTGGAACCTGGCTTCCTAGGAGGGAGGTGCTGGAGCTGCAGTGATGTGGGAAGAGATCCCAGGAGGAGGAAGCCAGGCAAGGAAGCCAGGGAGCAAGAGTTTACAGGTGAACTTGGGCAATGAATGGTCCCTCCTCCGTGTCCCCCAGGGACACTGGACACACACTCCAGGTGTGCCGAGGGCAGTTTCTGAGGGCGCCCTTTCTGGGAGAGAAAGGATAATAGAGTCTAAGAATTCATAGAATTATTGTGAACATCAGTTGCTCAACAAATACTGAGCATCAGCTGTGTGGGGGGCACTGTACAAGGCCTGAGCACACAGCAGGGGACATACTCCCTGCTCAGGGGCTGGGGGAGGGGGAGACAGTGAAAAAGAGCAAATAGAGAAATGTGGGGTGACGGCACAACACACATTTACTAATACAGAGATTAGGAAAGCAGAGAGGAGGGGGAGCCGTTCATATTTCTTTTTAACTTTTCACAACTTTGGAACACGCAAAACTGTTAGAATATTAAAAATAGTACAACGGACACTACACACCTTTCTTGTCAACTTCACGACAATGGTTGACTTCTCCTTTATAGATACAAGCATCCACACACAGATGCATGAGCTTAAAATAAGCATGAGCTTATTTTTTGCAAAACCTTTTGAGAGACGCAAATCTCAGGACGACCTGCCCCTGAATGATCCGGCTTGTCTTCTAAGACACTGCATCTCCGTGAGCCCCAGAGCCTGGTCAGCAAACACAGCCTTGTCCTGGGCTGCTTTCTGGCTGAGTCAGATCTGGGTCAGCACTTCATCTGGTGGTGGAACCTCTTTCGGCCCCTTGCATCCAGGAGTTTGCTTTTTACTGTATGGCTGCTGTTCTCGAGGGTTCCCACCAGCTGTTTTACAGAATATGCCTTGATTTGGACTGTCTACATTTTGGTGGTGATTGGGTTCTGGTGAAAACGTTGTCGGGCAGGATACTCTTTGTAGGTGTGTCCTGGTCTGCTCCACTTATCTCATCAGGAAGCAAACTCTGTCCATTGGTCCCACTGTGTAGGTGTGAATGTCTATGGCTTGGTCAACGTGATGGCCAACAGATTTCTCACTTTACAGGCACATTTACCGCATTGCAAATAAGTAATTGACTAAGATTGTGGGGATCTCTTGTTCCCTGACTATCTTTCCTTTAATCTTTTAGCAACAGGTGATGATTTCAGCCCTAAGCCCATTATCACAAAAACGTTTGTAGATGACAACAATTTTCTAGCTCTGTTTTTAAATATATTGATATTCCTTAGCAATAAAAAGGTTTTTGCAATTTTTTCTAAAGATTTATTTATTTATGTCTGCAAGAGCTGGGTTGTAGGCCAGAGGTGGGGGCGGGGATGAGAGGATTCACCAGAGACAGAGCAGGAAGCAGAACAGGTAAATCTACTGAATTGCTCTGCTGAGGGGAGCAGAGAGGAGACAGCAGGGGTCTGCTGGGCCATGTGGGTAGCTCCCTGGCCTGGGATAGAACTCATGCCACAGTGGCTGCCAATAGCTTCATGGTGTTGAGGTGCTTCCCTTTGAGCCACCAGGGAGACTCCCATTCTAGCCATTTGGATAGACTTTTGTTTCCTCAGTCCCAGGCTGTTATTTTATCAGGGGCTGCCTTGGGAGGTGCTTCCTCCCTCTGTGTGACTGTCTCTTCTTTCCCTACCATTGCTGGCCAGGCTAACTCCTCTCTCCTTCAGTGATTTGTCATCCTGGATCAGTTTCAGCCTGACTTCCCTGAAAGCCCTTGGGTTGGAGGCTCCCAGGCCTGCTCTGAGTCCTCTCCCTCACCTGGGGCGCCCCGGGCTCAGGACGGTGCCTGGCTTCTTGCTGCCTCATTCCCAGTGTCGTCCACAGCACCTGACTTATCCAGGGCTCCATAAGCTGGATCATTCCTTAGATTTCCGGGCCTGAGTTCCCTAGTAAAGAGTCACCTACGTGGTCAAGGGTGTCCTGCCTGCTGCTGGCAGATTTCACTTTAGCACAGCAAGATAACTTCACCAGTAATTCCGATTCCCACTTGAGAGTCAGGGGTCCCACTCCTCTGTGGGCCGCCAGCCTCTTCCCTTAGGGCTACTCTGACATTCCTGCCTCCCCCGGAGTCCTCCCACCCCCTTGCGCCCCCCAGTGGGGTGCTCATCCTGGGCTCAGGCTGGTGCACAGGCACAGCTTACCTGCTGGGTTCACCATCATTTAGACGCACCTGACTCTGTCTCCACCTGCTGGAGTCTGGCGCTCACCTGTTCTGTGCTCACCACCCGTGGCCGCCACAAAGCACGTCACCCCCGGGGTCCCCACACTTTAAATGCCAGGTCACCCACTTAATCTAATCAGGCCAAGCATCCTCGCTCTCGCTCTCCCAGAGTCTTTATCTCCTCAGACCCTGAACCCCTGGTCTCCACCTCCTTCGGCAGGTGAAGACAGCCCTGAGGAGAGCTCCACACGCACCTCCCCACATGCATTGAGATTGGGGGACTGTTTTTGCCCCTTCTCCTCCGGCACCCCCCTTCTGACCTGCTCACTCCTCCCCTGGGCCCGACCCTCCCCGCCCCTGTCCTCGCCTCCACTGTGCCGGGGACATGACGGGTGTCAGTCTGTCCAGCTCTGCTTGTGATTCCCCAGGAGCGGGGCTCCTCCCCCAGAATACAAGCAGGGGGTTTGAGGGCCTCTCACAGCCCCCCTTCCTCAGCTACCCCCCGCTTTCAGTCTTCGTGCACAGAGCAATTTTGTGACGTGTCTGCTCTGCTCCTTGAGCTCCTGCTCTCCCGTGGGCTGTTACCCCTCCACACGGGCACCCCCCGCTGCGGTGCCAGTTCCCTGGTGCTCCTGTCATGTCTTCAGTGACGGGCACACCTCCCGTCTCTGTCCCTAGTCCCAGGTGTTTTCCTGCAAGTGATCCTGGTGGCCCCCAACGCCACGGTGCCCGAGAAGGCCGCCTTCCAGCTGGACTGCAGCATCGCGTCTCGCTCGAGCCAGGACTCCCGCTTCGCTGTGGCCTGGTTTTCCCTGAGGACGAATGTCAGTGGGAAAATGGGCAGCCCTGGCCTGGCAGGACAGGAGGAGCAGGAGGAGGATCAGGAGGAAGAGCAGGGGGAGGACCCTACTGAGCGGAGGGTGCTGCTGAGCGTGGGTCCTGACGGGGTCTTCGGCCCAGAGGGAGGCCCCTGGGAGGACAGACTCCGCTTCCAGAGGCCCTCGCTGCTGCTCTTCCGGCTCACGGTGCTGCAGGCCAGCCCGCAGGACACGGGCAACTACTCCTGCCGCGTGGAGGAGCGGCTGCCCAGCCCTCAGGGAGGTTGGTACCTGCTGGCCAAGGAGGAGTCGGCTCCCATCAGCATCCGCGTCCTGGACACTGGTGAGTTTCCCCAGCTGGCAGGGGAGGGTCACAATGGTGACAGCTGTGTCTCAGGACAGGGCAGGGCGCGTTTGTAGGTTAATAAGCACTTTCCTCGCCTGTCCCGGGCATTTAGGACTTGACACACCGTTCATGTCACTGACCCTGATGGCCCAGGCCCACTCAGGAATGTGAACGGCAGTGATAACACAGTCATCGTCAATCAGTGCATAATCCTGATGCCACACCGAGTCTGTTGTAGTGTTTCCTGTACTGTTCACCAGCCATTGTGGAGTTCACAGTACAAATCATGGTCAGGGGTTACTGTGTTACACTTTGGAATATTCAGTCTAATCTCCTTTAGCCAATTAACAAGTGCTTCAGACTCATAAGGAGAGAAAATGAAGCCCCACGCCTCCCTGTCACTCTTTGTTTTCCTGGGTCATTTTTATTTTGGAGGGTGACATGGATCTAGGTGGGTTTTCATTGTCACCTGGGAGTAGCAGCCTTTAAGGGCAGACCCCTCACAGGGGTCTGAAAACAGTTGAGCTTGCCATTGGTGTTGCTACCGAATATTCCAGAACTCTAAGTTTGTAGTGTACTGAAGGATTCTATGAACAACACAGAGGAAATTCTTGCTGACCTTGAATTTTCTGTTCTAAGGAGGTACTCTTGGTTGGCTTCTCCCAAAATGTGGACTCTCTGAGATTGAAAATGGTGTCAGTTTTTAGTGCAATTGGCTTATAACGCAGAAGTGAAAATGTCACTAGAAATTTCTACTTTTTTCAGTCAAAATATTTTACCAGATGATTTTGATTTGAGATTTTGCATTTCATTTGCTATTTCTTTTCTTTGATCACCTCGTTTACATTGCTTCAGATTGACTCCTATGACATTGAGAGTTCACAGGTCAAAGTAGTTGACTGTCAACAATTTCACATGCTTTAGAGATCTAATAGGTGTAAGTGTGTGTTGAATGTTCTTGAGCATGCTGATAAGCAGCAGCTGTGCACTAGAAAGGAAGGCAGGAAAAGACCCATACTGTGCTCAGTCCCCCCAATACACTCCTGAAAAAGCCCCAGTCCAAAGCACAGGGAGTGTGTGGAGGCCACATATTCTCTGCTCACTGTGGCGACCCCGTGTGTATTGTGCTTCAAGGAACAGAGACCATCCAGCAGCCTCCAGAGATCAGGTTCCTGCTGAGTTCTTCCAAGTCCAAGGGTCTACCTGGACAAGGGCGGGGGCCTGGCTTCATTGCCCTCCACGTCCAGGGTGAGCAGGCTGTGTCCACTGCAGCTACAGACTCACTATGGTTATCTGTGGGCCCAGAGTGGTATTTTAGTTGATTGTGTTAATTAAAGAAGCATTATTGGGCCTCCCTGGTGGCGCAGCGGTTGAGCGCTAGGTTGCGAAGCTGCCCGCAGCCTCTGCAGCGCCGGTTCCATCCCCGGCTGCTCCCCGGCCACTGGAGGAGGGTCCCACATGGCGAGCAGACCTCGCCTGCCGCCCGCTGCTCCCCTCAGCAGTGTACTTCGGTCCTTCTGCCTGCTCTGCTCCCTGCTCTGGCTCTGGTGAATTCTCTCACCCTCCCGCGCTTCTGACTGTACCCAGTGCTTGTATGTATAAATAAATAAATAAAAAAAACTTTAAAAAAAAAAAAATAAAGAAGCATTATTTCTGGAAAAACTACTCTCAGGAGCTGTCAGGGAGAGAACATTTATATTGCCAAAGAAGGACTTCTGGAGCAGAAGTGAGTGCAAAGGGAAAGTGTAAAATACAACCGTGCGGGAGAGTGAGAGAAACTGGGATCAGCTTCTTGCTGTCCTCACAGAGTTGAGCTCATGAACCATCAGTGTCACGTGGCTTTCCAAGTAAGGACTCCGGTTCCCACAGGGGCTTGGGAGCATTGCTTTATTTGCACTGAGCTGGAAGAGGTGCTGTTAGGCAAAAGGGATGCCAGGGTAGCAGGGGACAGAAAGGCAGGGATAGGGGCGGGGAGTCCACCATGTAGTTTCCCTTGGGCTGGACGAGGTCCTAGGGAATAAAGCGCAGGTTCTCAGCCTCTTGTCTTTTCTCCCTCTGGCCCCTTCCAGGCTCCACCCTGCAGTCCAGCATCTGCTCCAACGACGCGCTCTTCTACTTTGTCTTCTTCTACCCCTTCCCCATCTGCGGCATCCTCATCACCATCCTGCTGGTGTGCTTCAAGAGCCGGAACTTCAAGGCCTACAGGTGGTGGTGGGTTGAGCACAGTGCTGTGGAGCTGTCCGCAGCCTCTGCTGCAGAGGTTCGATTCCCAGCCATCCAGGGAGATTCCTGCATGGCAGAGCAGACCTCTCCTCTCTCACCCACTGCTCCCCTCACCAGTGTTTTCAGTCAGTCTGCCTGTTCTGCTCCCCACTCAGTCTCTGGTGAATCCTCTCACCCTCCCGTGCCTCTGGCCTCTACCCCAGCTCTTCTATAAATAAAAATAAATCTTTTTTAAAAAAAGAAAAAGAGCCGGAACTCCAAAGGGAAGATGGGGCGCCCCTGTTTTGGATCAAAGAACCACACCTCGCCTACTCCCTGACGTGCCTGGAGCCAGCGTCACCCTCTGTGGAGATATTTATGCCCTGGATTCCCATGTTGTGTGGTGAAGAGTGTCATCTCCCTTCCTCTGTGAGCTTGCATCTTGAATCCCAGGAGATGCCAATTGGTAATAAGCTACCAGGGATTCTGGAACTTGATGGATGGAGAGATCGCTGCAACATCTTGTTCTGATACTGAACAGACTGGGAGAGCAGTGGGATTTCCGAGGTAAAGAAGTTGCTGCTGGTCTTTATCGGGCTGTGCAGGTGGAGGGTGCACAGCAGCTACTAAGCCGGTTTCTGGCAGGTGGTGTAACCCTGCTGCTTTCCTCCCAGGTAGCCCAGGGTGCTCTTTGGAGACACCCTGGTCCCATGCTGCCCCCATGCTCATCCCTTGAGGTGCAGAATCGACTCAGTGGCGAGGAAGGAAGGCATGCTTCACCCCATTTGGCGGTGGAAATTGCCTACCCCTAACTTAGAAACTGAGTCAGGGAGGGGCGATGTCTGACTGTTTTCTGATTGGAAAGATGCAGAGGGCTGCCTGGGATGGGTGTGCAACTAAGATTTGGGTTTGAATGGGTTCACAGCTGTAGAATAGCAGGTGCTGCAGGCAATTCAATATGTGAAGCAGTTGCAGGAAATGTGAAAGACAAGAAGAAACCGGAGCCAGTATTTTAATAATTTTTTTCCTCTGTATTTTCTATTGACCTGGGGGAGACCTTCCAAAGGTGAGCCTCTCCAAGCTTTCCATGAAAATCCCCAGGACCTGCTTGCTGTGCCCATGTCTTTGGAATGTGGTGTCCGAGGACAGGATATGGCGCCCTCCAGCGGCCGCGGGTCCTCATTGCACGTTGCCTGCCGGAGCCTCCGTGGTCTGGACCAAGAGGAAATCTGCAGCCACTGGCTTGCCTTGGGCACATCTCCGAGGCTGCATTGATGAAACACCACACTGTGCGAGGCCCGTTCCAGGACACGGAGAGGACCGCACCCTCTCTCACCTGGGGTTTCTGTAGCAGATTTTCCTATTCTTTTCAAACTATGGTTTCTCTGTGTTGATGGTTGAAGGAAAAAGAAGGTGGGTCAGAGCTCCCCGTGCATGATGTAGAGAGCTGTTGGTTTGTTTTTGTTTGCTTTTATTATTTTTTATATAAATTTTCTTTTTTTTTTTTTTAAGATTTGTTTATTCATTTACACAAGCACTGGGTACAGTCAGAAGCGCAGGAGGGTGAGAGGATTCACCAGAGCAAGAGTGGGGAACAGAACAGGCAGACTGACGAAATACACTGCTGAGGGGAGCAGCGGGCGACAGGAGAGGTCTGCGCAACATGTGGGACCCTCGCCGGTGGCCTGGGATCGAACTGGTGCTGCAGAGGCTGCCGGCACCTTCGCAGCCCATTGCTCAACCGCTGCGCCACCAGGGGAGGCCCACTTTGCTTTTTTTTAAGGAACACTCTGTAAGATGTTGCACTAAAATGTTTTATATACATTTCAGAGACCTGTAGTAAATTATGTTGAAAATATGGCTGTTTGCATTACCTGGCGTCTGCTGTCCTTCCTCCCCCAGCCTGAGTGGTGCCTTCGTACACATGACACAACACACTCCTTCCTCGACACCACAGCCAGCTGCTGAAGGGGTCATAAATAGTCAGGCCTGTGCTGATGAGCAGGTGCAGAGGGAAGTGCTTACCAACTCTAACTTCCTTTTTTTCTGGGGGGTGGGGTGTGCGCTAGGTGGGAAGGAGTGGGGAGAGAAGCTGGTGGAGAAGGGGCGCAGGATCATGTCAACGGCAACCTTCTTGGCCACCAACGGCCTCTGCAGCAAGACCACAGCATGATCTGCAGTGGGTGGCCTTGCCCTGGCCCTGAAGGCTCAGCAAGCACTTTCAGGATGGAGGAAAGAGCAAGGCCTGGCGCCTGTTGCGTGCACAGCAGCCCAGACCCTGGTCCCCGCACAGCTGAAATCTGGGGTGTTTTGGAGTTCATCCCATCTGCAAGTTGAGAAGAATGACAGGATGATTAAAGCACAGCAGAGATGGGTGATCGGTCAGGGCCCACCTGTAATTCTTTGAAATCCACAGGCCACGACACAAGAGGCTCTAGATACAGAGTGAGAGGCTCAGGGAAGTGCTTCCTTTTTCTACTTTTTAAAACCTCAGCCTTCCGGGGACACAAGATGTGCTGACCTCTGCACCTCACCCCACTTGCTGCCTGCTTATCAACTTCCCGAAGCTCCTGGCTTGGCCAAGAGTTGAGATGCACTGTCTCTCCCTTGGGTGCCAGGCATGGTTCCATGTCAGTTTTGTGCATTTTTTTTTAAGATTTATTTATTTATTTATTTATACAAGCACTAGGTGCAGTCAGAAGCGCGGGAGGGTGAGAGTATTCACCAGAGCCAGAGCGGGAGCAGATCAGGCAGAAGGACCGAAGCACACTGCTGAGGGGAGCAGCGGGCGGCAGGAGAGGTCTGCGCGCCATGTGGGACCCTTCTCCGGTGGCCGGGGAGCAGCCAGGGATCGAACCGGCACTGCAGAGGCTGCAGGCAGCTTCGCAACCCAGTGCTCAACCACTGCGTCACCGGGGAGGCCCTATGCATTATTTTTAATGTTTTTCCTGAAACGCGCTCTCTGCCAGGAATCATTTTTAAAAGGGAACTAGGGAACTAGAGTTTGATGAAATAAGCTTGTGCCTCTACATCCCCGGGGCAGATCTGCCCGGTGTCTACATAGACGCGAGAACGTCCCCTCCCACGCTGGGCAAGAGGAGAGGCAGTGCTTTGTTCACTACGTGCTGGGCCCCGAGTCTTCTGGGCTTTGGCAAGACCCAGAACCAGAGGGATGTGCTAGGAAGAGCAGCAGCCTCGCGCCAGAGGAGCAGCTGAAAAAGCCGCCTCTCTTACCTAGTGGTGACATCTGCAAGGACAAGCAGATGAATCCTGGTCTTTCAATGCCAGTTGCAGAATGAAAAATACCGTGAGCCCTTTAGGTGGCAAGTGCTTAGAGCATGAACAGTCCAGGCCCTGCGCCAGTGTGATGCATGGAGTCTGCCAGGCCAGGCACATTGGGGCTCTTATAAATGCATTTCTCATACTAAAGGAGCTGGCACTGCTGCTTGGTCAGAGGCGCGGCGCGTCCACCAAGGAAGAGTAATGAGTCTTTCCTCAGCCAATGTCTGGAGGTGATGACCTTGGGGGTACTTCCACCCCAGGAAAGTGGGTTTGCCCCCTCAGCCCTGCTTTTAGGGGGCTGACCCTTGCCGCTTGTCCCAAAGATGTGTCCTTCCAGGTGAAAGGTAAGTGTGATGCCTTGACCTTGGCTTGGGTTGGACTCTCGGCTCTGCCATTCCCTGTGCGTGTCCTCGGGCAGGCACGTGCCCTGAGCCTCAGTTTCCTCCTCTGTAGACACAGGACAGTGGTCACATCCCGTTAATCCAGGCCGTGCACTTAACGCAGGGCACGGAATGGGCTCCACTTTGATGTTCCATCACTTGTCAGACCCCAGCCTCCCTTCTCAGGTTGCCCGAGGTCCTGCCAGCCCCGGGCAGCGGAGGACCCCGATTTCCTCACATCTTGGGTAAACACTGCACTTGTCATGTGCCCCAATATCTACAGATGGTAGGGGGTGTCTTTAGGTCACCTGCTTCCACGTACAGGACTTTGGCTTCAAAAGTTCACCCATGAGAGATGCCTTGTAAGACATTATGGTTCATTGAAGAAGTAGTTCCTGATTTCTGAAAGTCCAGGCCACGTGACTGGGATGATGAGGGACCCTGGTCGGGGTGCTGGGGAGGAGACCCACAGTCAATGGTTTTCCACCTGCTCCACAGCTGCACCTGGTGGCATGTGGGGGGGCGGGGAGTCCTGGTCTGGGCAAGAGTCTCCACCTGCCTCAGCTGGGCTGGGACAGCTCTGGGCTTCTCTGAAGGAAAAGGGGCCCTTCCTGGGGTGGAGCCCTTGGGTCTGGGGCCCCTGGGGCTGCAGGGGTGGGGGGACAAGCCAGTGGGGAACAGTGACCAATAAGATGGGGCGTTCCAGAGGGCAGTGGCTGCTCTGCAGAGAGAAATTCGGGGAGCCACTGAGGGGGTGAACTCCTCAGCCTGAGGGAAAAGCCACAGCTGAAACCGAAGAGGAGCCAGAGAGCGTGAGGAGGAGACACCGCGGCTGGAATCCAGTTCTGGGCACAAGGGGCGGCTGAGGTTCAGTTTAAGGAAAAGCTGGTGGGGTGCAACAGGCACCCCCACATCCCAGTGGTGTCTGAACAGTCCGGGCTCCTCTGGTTCTGACGGGGGAGGAGAGAGCCTGGGCGGGTCTGGCGGCCACAAGGCACGGAGGGGAGCGCGGGGCCTCCCTTCCAGAGCCTCCCAGTGCTTGGAGGTTGAGGTCACCGTGGTCTCCAGCGGAGCGGGGCGTGGCTTTTGGAACTGACACCCGCCCCCCACGCCCGCTCCGGCCGCCGCAGCTCTGACCCCAGCATAATCCCATCACTAGGGAAACCTGCTGGGGGCGGGCGGCGGAACATCCCGGGGCGGCGATGGGGTGCGCACCCCAAGAGCGGCCCGGAGGGGGCGGGGCGGCCGCGGGAGGGACGTGCGCGTGCGCGGAAGAGGGGGGCAGCGGATGGAGGCGGGGTTCGGCTGTGCGCGGCGGGTTTAAGGTGCGCCCCGGCCTCTCCGGGGCGAGGGCGGCGGCGGGGGGCTGCGGTCTCCGCGGTGCGAGTTGGGTCCCCGCCGGGAGCGCCCCGCGTGGGGCAGAGACATCACGTGACTCGCCGCTGCTCCCCTCAGTCTCTGATCCGGCCGGCTCCCCTTTTCCTGTACACGTAATTTAGTAAATCTTTTAAAAAAAGTAAATAAATACAAAATCGCGCCAGAGCCTCGTTGCGCGGCCACGTGAGGCAGGTGGGGCTCCCGCCGGCGCACCCCAGCCTGGGCCCGTCATGGCGGACGCGGGGGGCGGGGGGTGGGCGGCTGCCTGTTCCTCTTCTTGGTGAGTGACCCCTCGGCCTGCCCGGGCCTGGCGGCGCCCAGAGGCTGCTGTGAGGTCGGTGCTGAGAGGGTGGGGGGAGGACCCCCTAGCCAGCTGTCCCGGGGAAAGGGGTCACCTCACCCCTCCCTTGGGGCGCGGGAGGAAACTTCGCCCTGGGGCGTCTGCATCTGGCTGGGGAGGAAGTGGGGGCTCCAGCGCTCTCCGAGGGGCTCATCTCTCTCTAGGGGGCCTCTGAGCCCCAGGGGCAGATCCAGGCTCCCGCCCCGCGCAGCCTGCCCGGGAAGGTTGTGGCTTTTCTCTGAAATTCAGTTACTTCTGGGGCCTCCTGAGGTGCCCTGGCCTTAGACTTGAGGGGACAG